AAGTAGCATTTACCCTACAAAGGCAAGTGTGGTTCAATATATAAATATCAATCAATATAATGCACCACTTTAATAGGAGGAAGAGAAGAAATGCTACACGATCACCTCAACTAATGTAGAAAATGCACTTGACAAAATCCAATGTTTCATGATAAAAATACCCAATAAACTAGAAATAGAAGGGAAATTCCTCAACATTATAAGAGGCATACAGTCATCCCTCAGTATGTGCAGGGATACTGAGGACCAGGACCACCACAGATACCAAAATCCAAGGATGCTGAAGTCCCACAGTCAGCCCTCCATATCCATGGGCTCTGCATCCACTGATTCAGGCAACTGCAAATTTCGATCCAGGGTTGGCTGAATCTGCAGATGTGGAATCGTGGATATGAAAGGCCAACTATAAAAAACCTACAGCTAACATCACATTAATGGTGAAAAACTGAAAGCTTTTCCCATAAGATCAGAAACAAGACAAGGAAGCCTACTTTCACTACTGCTATTCAACATCGCCCTGAAAGTTCTAGCCAGAGCAAGTAAGTATCAAAAAGAAATGAAAGGCATCCACATTAGAAATAAAAAAGTAAAATTGTCTCTATTCCCAGATGACATGATCTTCCCTGTAGAAAATCCTACAGAATTCACAAGAAACTATTAGATCAAATAAATTCAGCAAAGTTGGAGAATGTAAGATCATACGAAAATCTATTGTATCTCTATACACTAGAATAAATGATCAAAAAGAAAATTGAGAAAATTCCATTTATAACAGTATCAATAAAGAAAAAATACTTAGAAATAAACTTAACCAAGAACACGCAAGACTTTAACACTGAAAACTATCACACATTGTTGAAAAAAATTAAAGATCTTGATAAATGAAATGAAATCCCATGTACATGGACTGGAGGACTTAATCTTGTTAAGACAGCAATACTCCCCAAAGAGATCTACAGATTCAATGCAATCTCTATCAAAATTTCAATGGTCTTTTTTGCAAAAATGGAAAGTTGATCTCTGTACAGCAACAACAATCTTGAAAAACAAAAAGTCGGAAGGCATACACTTATCAATTTCAAAACTTATTACAAAGCTACAATAATCAAA